TTTTAAATCTTACTTTTTAAGCAGAGAAAAGGGATCACAAGGTCAATGACTCAAAAAACTCTTTAAAAATGGGCGTCTATTTATATAAGTATTTGCACATATAATAAACATAAAACTTAATTAAAAAAAAAAGACTTTGTACTGCACTATACCTTGGCATGCTTTTTCAAACAAAAAAAAAACATTGAATGTATAGAATGAAGGCTTACAGAGAAATCTGAGCTGCGCGATCAAAAAAAGCAAAAATAGAGAAAATAACAAAATTATTTTTGATTTTTCTGAAAAACTGCACTTTTTTAAGCATAAGACAATAGAAATTATCGAAAATTTTGGCATTAGATAAAAATATCATGTTGTGTCTGAAGGAACACAACTCAGGCTATCTTTCCATGTATTTATTTTAATTTTGAGTTTTTTTGACGAAAATTTGACTTCTTTTGAACTGAAGTAGCATCTATCTATTGAATACGTTTTGGGATCCAAATATTGTCTTTAGACTTCAAAAAAAAAAATCAAATTTATATAACGAAAATAGCAAATCATGTTTTTCTAAGACCAAATTTTTCATGAAAACAAAAAGTCTAGAAACATTCGAGTTTCTCCGGCCTTGGACGTCCGATCGAGCTGAAACACTATGCACTGTTTGGAATGGATATTCTTCTTTTGTTTGGTAAGAAAACATACGTTTTTTAGGGTACCTTCGATGTGTTCACCTTCTTTTATTTGAAGGACAAAAAAAAAATGAAAAGCTACCTAACCTGAACAGTATCTAGCGCCTGTTAAAAATATTTTCAACTCGATCAAACATAATATCTCAGAGAATCGGGGGCTACTGTGTGATCACAGTATCTTATAGAAGACAACGTCCAAGATGACAACTTTTGCTCTACTCATCAAGATCTATCTGTCGTGAAAATTTTAAATTTTTCCTATGAACCATTCTGCAGAAACACCGGAAAGGTACTCTAAATCGTAACAAGATTAGTAAAAGAATGGTAACTATTTATATGCAGGAAGTTTTAAAGTAATCGACAGTAACAAAAAAGAAATTAATACTATGATAAGACATGTTTATTGATAAATTACTGTAATATTAACGAAGTATATCCATCCATCTAAATCAACAAAAGACTAGACAGAACGTGTGACTTTTTATATTGACTGTTAATCACTTAACACATGGCCATAGGTCAAATTTGCAACAAGAACAATTCAATTGATATAATATTTTCTGTAGAACTATTGAAAAGATATTATTACTATTTCAATAACGAGGTAAGAAATAACTATTTAAATATCAATTTCTATTGAAAAAATCTAAATGAATCGAGAGTTATTATGTATTCATTAAATTAAAATAACATAATACATAAACTTCAATAAATATTTCAGATGATTTCTGAGTCATAACAAGATTATATCTTCATTTTACTATAAGAGAGCTTAGTATTGTCTTTTTTTTACAGCTGCTCATATTCACTGATTAAATTCACATAGAAATTGGATCACAAATGCGCGTACTCACATACACGTAGATCAGGATCGTGTATCATCATTAAAAAAGAATAAAAAAAAAATTATATACATACATATATATATATATATGTATATAATCATTTATAATATTCGAATCCTTTCATTCATTTACTACAGTTCTTATTTAACATTGTCTTAGAATGTATGAACAACATTCAACTGGATATTATAATACAAAAGAACAACGTTTCAATGATAAATTTCCTTTATCAATTATAGCAACATTAGCTGTTATACAAATGTTAACTACATTTGCAATATTTATTCTTGAAATTGGACATAATATTCTTCATATAAAACTAACTAATTTATTTATTGGATTTTGGACTGCAATACCATTTACTATTTTATGGATATCGATGTTTGCAGTTGGTAAGAATTGATTTTGAACTACTGAATATTGTTTAAACTAAACGAATCCAAAATATAAAAATGAAAATTTTTAATTTAGTTTGTTGTTGTCGTCGACAAAGTTGTGCTACACATGCTGTTATACAAAATATATTTGGTTTAATATTTGCTTGTATTTTAATTGGATTTAATATTATTTTTATTCGAGAACCAAATAAATGTTTTTTTAGTGAAGGAATTTGTCAAACATTATCATGGACAAGTTATATATCAGAATCAATTGAATGTTTAGTTGATGGTGTTTCAGATGGTTGTGGAAATACTCGTATATCTTTAATATTAGGTCAACTTGTATCTGGTATTCTTATGGCTATTACGTGTCTCATTTATTTAACTATTTATTGTATAATATATTTACGAGTATCAAAAGCAAATCAATGTAAAATACAAACACCAGCTGAAGTTGTTATGGCACCTGTGTATCCATCGAATCAAAAAATATTACCTATGACTATTAGTCATCATCATCAATCTTGTACATTTTCTTCTCATCCATATCAAGGACCAGTACCTGTTATGATGGCTGTTTATCCACCACAAGCACCACCATTACCATCAGATATGAATTATCTTAATCATATTCCAATAAATCAATATTCAACAAAATATGCACAACTAACAAATGAACGATTTTAATTAGACAAAAAACAAAACAAACTTGTAAATCATTTTATAATAAACGGAAAAGAAAAATAAATGATTTTTTTTTCTTCTAATTTATTTAACGATTGAGTTGATCAAGTATTGTTTCAATTCGATCTTCATCAATAAGACCGGTAAATCGACCGATTTCTTTACCATTTTTAATAGCCAATACTAAAACAAAAACATTGATAAATGAACCTATTTCAATTGCAGAGGCATATAGCTAAAAACTTCATTTTAAACTGTCATTTATCATTACTATATATCAGTTTTTTTTTTACAAGAATATTAACTAATCTTTAAAGTCTTTGTAAATAGATATACAATCCTACGTTTTCACTATGCATACATCGTTTCTAGTTCACACGAAATATGATATCTTTAAATCAGACTTGGTAAACGATTCATACGAAGCGCATCGAATAGAATAACTAAAATTGTCCATATTTGATGTATAGATGTTTAAGAAACCATTACCTTTTCAAATATTAGTTTAAAAAAAAATTGAATTTTTACCTGTTGGCACTGCTTGCACATTATATTTACTGCTTAATTCACCAAATTTATCAATATCAATTTTTGCCAATGTAATATATTGATCACCAGATGATGTTTTTACATCTTTATTATAATTTGTAATTAATTTTTCTAATCGTGGTTCTATTTAAAAATATACAAAACTAGATTCAATATTATTAATATAAGACTCATTACCTAAAATTCTACATGGTCCACACCTTAAAAATAAATCTTTGATTATAATTTAAACATAAAAATTCTTACCAACTAGCTTGAAAATTGACTAGAAATGGTTTTTTACTATCAAGAACTTGTTTTTGAAAATCTGCTTCATCTTGTACATGAAATATATCCTTAGATAAACATAAAATCGATATATGAAATTGCCGATATGTATTTCTTATCGATAATTTTTGTACATTGTATTTAATTAATTGTAAACAATAAATTGACATTGTATTCAAAATTTAATATATATCTATAAAAATGATTTCATTCATATTAGTTTATTTTTCTATACAAATAGAAAAAAAAAAATAAATTTCTGCAAAATGCAGAATAATCAATAACAGATAGACACACAAACTTCAAAAATGGAAAAAAAAAACAAAAAAAAAAATCATAGAAATGTTTTGTTTTCAAAAACGAAAACACACTGTCAATTTCATATTTACATATCACAACTTTTGTGTTTTTTATATCTTATAAATAAAGAATTATTTATCATGTTGGACTTATATAAGTCGATTAGAAAATGGAAGACGTCTTTTTATTGTTGATATTTGATCATCTTCAAATGTTCTATAAAATAAAGATTTATTTAATTTAAATAAAAATACAATATGTATTTTAAAATGCGGTGTTTTATTCAGATTTTCCATTTTGGAGAGACAATTTTAAACTTCGCGAAAGGCGAACACTTATTTTTGGGAGCATAGACATATACTACATGTTACAATAACCATCAATTCCGGATAGTCAACTCGATTCCCGGAGGGACGCCGTCCTCTCCGACGTCACACTGGATAAAATACTGTTCGAATGAATATCTAGCAAAACTTACTTTATGGAATTATTAGATACAGATGGTAGCTAGAAAGAAAAAAAAACGAACAAATATATTTTGTTGATACATTTATAATAAAGAATGATTTTACTTCATTATACATTGTAAACCAAAGAAAAAGATCTAATGTATTTAATTGAGCATATTTAGCATTGTCTAATGCACGAAATACGTTTTCTATTGGAAAATGATGGTGTTCGAGAATAGAACGAACAAAATCAATTGTATATAATTCAATACTATTTAACGATTGAACATGAACTAATAAATCGATTTGTGTAAATATATCCGAATTACATTCACGTGTTATACGTAGAGAATGATATTTAATATCTATAGCCTACCAAAAAAAAAAATTATTCATATTCTTTGCATATTGAAATAATGAAAATGTATATTTCTTACATAATCTTGAATAATATCAATGTCAATATTTGAATTAATTATTTTAAGTAAAGTACAAATATTGAAATCAGGTATGAGAATAGATTTTTGATAATATATAAAAATGATAGGTAATTTTTGATTAATATTATTTATTTGTATATGAATAAGTTTAACAAGAGGTTTACTTGAAATACATAAAGATGGCATTGATGAATTATTTAGCGTAGCTGGACAAGATTTAGCAGCAGATCGTTGTAAAGCTCTAGAGAGAGAGAGAGGTTAAAAAATGCTGACTTTTGAGGTATTACTTACTCTCCTAATTGATTGTATAAAGCAATAACTGGATGAATTGGTGGATTACTATTGATGGCACAATGTTTGTCTGACTAAAAAAAAAAGATCATGTAAACCATTAAATAAGATATTGATCAGTTTGTTTTTGAATTTATTTTATTAGTCGGCTACTGTCGAAGTACTTTCATCTTTGATTTAAGAACTATTCATTTCATCAAATCAGAAGCAGTCGGTTTTAGGATTGTAGAAGCCAAACGAATTTTTTCTAATATATCCGACTCATGAGGTAAGTCTTCTAACTGACTAATCACTTTTAAGTCGTAACTATGTGCATCATGCAGATCTAAATGAACTTTAAATATCCTCAAAAGAATTCGGGCCCTTAACACTTATTGCTATGTAGATACTTCACTTTTAAGATAGTTTTTAAATGAATGCTGTAGTAACAGAAAAACTTGTTCTCGAATTTCGACTTAAAACTTTGTAGAGAGACAGACCTCAAAGAGAGTAGTTTGTTGTAGAAATTTTCAGTCTTATAATTTGCTTCTCTCTGGAAATAACAACATCGATCTGTCGGCGTATATCAGTGATGTAAAAGACACACTTTTACCATAGCTATATCTTATTGTGATCTTTGAACTGTAATAGTCAATATCGATCCTTTTAGCCCTTTCAGGATGGGATTATTTCTTGAAAAAAAAACATTTCAAGAATCAACTGTTTCTAGTTTTCATTCAAGTTTATTAATATGTTTTCAAAGTATGATAGGTTCGAAAACAATTTGGCATGCAGAAGCCAACATTGCAATCTGAGCATTCGTATTTGATGTAGGCATGGATGAGTATTTTCTGTTCACCCACACGCCACACCATCACGTGTGTATGTGAGAGAGAATGAATCACGAAAATACAGTGTGATATGTTAATGTAAGATAGAAAATGGGATAGGATTACACAAGTCACATTAGATGCATATTACTGCAATGAGCATACTCTAACGCACACGTAACCATTTTCAATCGTCAATGCATAGTACAATTCACTGTTTAAAAAAAGGCTGTGGCACATATGGTGTACCATCTGTTCTGAAAAGGTTAAACTCAATAGAAAGTTGTTTTTTTGTAAATAATTTGATCTGTAAATTAATCAATAAAACATAAGAAAATTTCATACTCGAACAATTGTTTGATTGTTGTCATCAATATTTGTTGATTGTATAGTGGCTTTAGCTTTTTTAATATGTATCATATAATCATTAACACAAACATATTGACCTGAATTAATAACAAACAAATTTGTTTGAAAACATCCATCTTCTTCAAATGATATAAATTCTATTTCAGGTAAAACTTGATCAATAACAGCTAAAAATTGATCAGTTGCATCAGTTGACCATGTTAAATTATCTTGATCATTATTTATTGGTGATATATGAGCTAAACGACATGTTAATGAAAAAACTAAATGACGATGAAAACAATCAATTAAATGACGTAGACGATTTATAGGTACATATTCATCCCATGTACCTAAATCAACATAAAATAAATTAACTGTATTATCATTTAAATCAAAATCAAGTATTTGTGAACGATTCCAAATTTTATCATTATCTAATGATTTTGGATCAGCACATATAACACATAAATTCATATGTATTTGTTCTGGTGTTACTAAATATTGTTTATCATCAAGTTCATTATAAAAATCATTAATTTCACGTTGAAATTTATCAAATTCAATAGCATCTTGTTTAAGTTGAATTGTAAAACAATGAGGATTTAATGCTGCTATAATCATACATTCATGAGTTTGTTTAAGTAGATGATTAGGAATATAAAATTCATATGAAAAACGATTAAAGACAATTGATTGATTTTTATATTCCAATACTTTAGATAATTTATTATTTGTTGTATTTTGACAAAATAATATTTGTTCAGTTGCACATGTACTCGATTTTAAACAAGATTTTGTTTGACAAGATATTGGTTGTAATTTTGGACGAACTAGAAAAACAAAATAAAAATTCTATCAAATCACATACAATTATCTTTTTAATTTTCATATTAACAGATTGGACAACGAAAATATTGCTCATATACAAAATTCTTTTTTCTTGTGATAAATTTAATCAGACGAGTTTCTTTTAATATGGCAGAATAGAGAATATTGTCTACATCACACATTCATATATGGTTTCAAAAATTATCATATACTATTGTTTTGTAATAATAAAAAATATTAGAAGTTATGAAGCTTTGAGTGCTCAAATAGCTACCTTCTCCCTTGAAGTTGTCCAAAAGAAACTGGCTTCAAGGTATAAAAGATGCAGAATTTATTCGGACTATACACATGTATATTAATGCATTATATGCTCATTTCTTATTGCTTTACAATAGGGAAACAGAGTAAAAATACATTTATGACTAGCAAGGTGGTTTCTTATTTTAAAGGCTGTCTCCAAGCCTTAAGTTCAAAAAGTAATTGTTGCTGTTACATGAGACAAATCTTTTGGTGTCTCGTTATGATTACGACAGGAAAACTTACATACAGATATTATTCAATTCTTTTTCAAAACAGTAGCGAGTAATTGGAACCCGTTAGACATCTAGTAATTTGAATATACTTTAAAGACGATTAAAGAAGATCTTGATCTTAATACAGTAATCAAAACTAGAGAAAATTTAGAATCTTTCAAGCTTCGAACGAAGCCTTGGAAATTG